CTCAATTTTTTTTTGGTTAACTTAGAGGGCTTCGACTCGTGGATTCACACAACAATTCGCAGAGCATTAACAAATAATTTGAAAATAAGAAAAGCAATAACCCCCCTCCCCAAACTTGAACCAAACATTGATCCCAATGTTTCGGAACAAGCTCAAGAAGGTGACTCACAAAGGGTAGTGCAACACATGTTGCAACCTTCTATCTCTCACCAATAAGACTCTCTTTTTATTACGTGCAAATAAAACAAAAAGAAAGACTAAATTATTAAAGGCGTGGGTTTCCTCCCACGAAGTGCTTCTTTAAAGTCAGATGGCTCGACGGGTCATCCCCTTATGGGGGGTACTTCCTTTTCCACACCTTGTTGCTTGTTTCTTCTGCAATTTAGAACTCATTCAGATCAAAAGTCTGAACTCATTTATGCTTCCAGCCACTTCCAACTTCCATCTTTTCAGCTTGGTGTTCTTTCTTCTGTCTCTTCTTTCCTTGTTGACTGCATTTATGAATTTTTATTGATGCCACATGAGAGATTTTTCCTAAGACTTCTTCCGGTTATGATTTTGAGTTGTTGCCTTCTCCTTCTAATTTGATCATTTCGACCGAAGATTTATCCTTTCCACTTGCACCTTGCTTCCTAATTTCCAACACCTTCAAGGTTATCTTCTCATCAAATGATTTTAGTGTCAGATTACCTGTCTCGATATCAAAATTGCATCGACTAGTCAGCATAAATGGTCGACCAAGAATGATAGGAGTCTCTTCATCTTCAAGTATGTCCATGATCTGAAAATTGAATGGGAAAAAAAAATTGTCAATTTCTACTAAAACATCTTCAGCTATTCCAAATGAATGCTTGATGGTGTGATCAGCAAATTTCAATTTTTTCCCACTCCCGCGTATCTTCTCAATACCGAGCTTCTTGAAAATTGACAATGGAATTAAACTCATACTAGAGCTAGAATAAACCAGAACCTTCTTGAAAGTTCTGTCTTTTATTGTGCATGGTATTGCCACTGACCCCTGATCCCTCTGATTGACAAGTATTTTTGTCTCAGGCGTAATTGTACATAATTTCTCCTCAACGGGTATTGATCCCTCTCTTGTTTATTTCTTCTTTGATAATACCTCCTTCATGAATTTATGATACAAAGGCATTTTTTCGAGTGCTTCAAAGAACGGTATGTGGATTTCTAGCTTTTTGAAAATTTTGACAAATTTCTCAAAATCTTTTTCTTTTGTGTCCTTCTTTACCACTCGAGATGGATATGACAACTTGATCGCTGATTTCATTTTCTCTTCAACTGGCTTCACATGCGATACCACTTCTTCCTGTTTGTTCATGTTCTCTGTCACTTCCATCTCTACTTCTATGATATTGTCATAAAACTTCACCTCATCTTCTTTTTCTCTATCAAGTTTCTCACTCCTTGTTTTGACAGCATTCACATTCTCATGACCTTTCTGTCTTTCTTGTGCTTGAAGCGTTACCTATTGTGCAAACTGTCCCATTTGAAACTCCAAATTTTTTATTGTAGTTGTGGTATTCCTGTAATTACTCCTTGTCTCTTCTTGAAATTAAGAGGTTTGGGCAGCCATCTTTTCAATAGCCACCTTCCACTCTTCCTTTTGAGGAGCTTGTTGTTGTTGATCTTTCTAGGAGAAATTCAGATGATTCTTCCACCCAGTATTGTAGGTGTTCGAATACGAATTATTCTGCTTCAAGAACTTAACGTCTTGAATTTGTTATGGAGAAGCTAAACAGTGCATCATATTGTGTGGCCCATTACAGATTTCACATATAGTATTTTGTGTTTGTTGAACTTCGACAACTTGATGAGCACCTAACTTCAGCTCTTTCAGCTTCTTGTCTACCTCTACAACAATTGTTTCTTCAATTTTTAATTGTCTGTTGGGCTCCAACTTTAAATTAATGACTCCTTCAAACTTGCTGGCAACCCTGTCATATAACTCCAAATGCTCATTTGCAGCAATTGCTTCTATTATCTTCTTTACAACAGCGGTTGTTGAGAAATTTGATGAGCCACCAGTTGTTGTGTCTATCAGCTGCTTTGTCTTGATTCTCAGACCATTTACAAACGTTTGTGTTGTACCCCAAAATTTACCCTCTCATTTTACTCAATACATACTCCTAGAGATCCTTAATTTGCTCAAGTTTGCCCAAGAGTTGACCAGGCAAACTCTCTCCTAAGGCAATGTGTCTCAAATTAGGGTTTCCATTTTCATTAAGATAGGTGGACTCCAAAAACCTCATATGCTCTCCATGGTCCTAATATGTTCTCAAGACCCTCCATGTCAAATTTCAAGCACTGCACAAGAAATTTGCTCAGTCAACTGCTCAGATGCTTGAGAATCGACTATATTAGGTCAAAAGTCAACTATAGCCCACATACAGTCAAACTTCAATATTTTTTGTCAACATCCACATTTTGAATTTAATTTCATCATTTGATCAAGGGTTTATCATTATTCTTCAAGGAATGCCCTAAATTCATCAAAACCTAAAAGTTGTTAAATTAGGGTTTCTTAGGAAAAGTCAACCAAACTTTTACCAAACATAACTTCTTCATAATTTATCATAAATTTTCCATCCAAGGCTCATTTTTAAGAGGATGAAATTCCCTACAACTCATATTCATCCCCCAAGTTCAAAATATGCACTCATAAAAAGATATGAATTTCTACATTATAGGTCCTTTTGAAAAGTCAACAAAAACACCTTTTGGGTCAAAGCTTCTTACATGAACATGGAAGACCCAATTGATATGAAAACAAAAAATTTGTTTAGGAGACATCCTAAGATTTCTAAAAAGTCCAAGAACACCCTCTTAGAGTTAAAATTGAGGGAGATATGTATTGTCAAAATTGACCAATTTTTGGAAATTTGCATGAAGTCAATATTGATCAAAATGACTTTTTTTTTCAAATGGGCCCATGTTTTCTTGTTTGAAACTTGTTCCTAAGATGACCCACGACCCCTGAGCTTATCCACCTATTATTTTATTATTTTTATTATTTATTTTGATTTTTTATCCATTTAAATCAAAATAAATCAATTTAAATAGTAGAATAATCAAATAAAATCAAAGATTTGATTTTATGAGCATATTATGAGTCCATGACCAGCTAGCAAATCAAAAATCCGTGCAAGAGCTAATTGATTTGAAAAGATCTTAATTTGGTCTATTTTGGAAACAAATCATACAAGGCAAAGAATGAAATTAAATCTCCATAATTTGCAAAGATATGATCAGTTTTTGTTGACCTAAATCATTCTATCATATATACCTAACATCTCTAAAGCATAAAAGAGGATTTGGGGTCGTGAAAACAAGGGGAAGAAATTGAAAATTTTGGAAGAAAAAATGCAGACCGTATTCTCTTCCATAGGCCGTTTCAAGTAATTCCAAAGCCAACAATCTCTTCCTGGACGTGTTCTGAAGTCATTTCAATCATCCTCAAGCCTTAAAACCTTCAGAAATCACGCCTCACAGTGCCACATTTAAGTGCAGGAATGACACGATTCCATTGTTAGGGTTTTGAGGTCCCAAATTGGAAATTCCATATAGAGGCAAAATTGGACAAAATCAGGGGTTTATGGCTACGAACAAAATTCGTCATTATAGCTTTTAGTGACGAAAACGACTGTAGGTAAATGTGTGGCCAAAAACAACAGTTATGGAGAAGAAGACAATTAGGTGGCAGAATCCCATTGGGAGATTTGAATCACGCGCGCGTTTGGGAAAGATGACTTTATTTCCTCTATATTTTATTTATGTTATTATATTTACAACCAACCATCCCAGCATTTTATTATTTTCTTAACGTTTACATGTAGATTTTGTACTTTGCACAGCCAAGCATCTACCATACGCTACTACAATCCAGCCAATGGATCGTTCACATTCCAGATCTAACGCTCAACCAAAGAAGGACCATAGTACACCATCAGGCAGAGGAACCACTGGATCCATCGCAAGGCAGGTAGGCCAAGGAATTTGGGCCTTTGAATTTTCAACATTGCACCCCCTGATTGCTTCTAACAGACCCATCTCTTTTTCTTTTTCTTATTTTTATTTTAAATCTTTTTATTATTTCATTAATCATCTTTTTTACAAATAACACAAAAATCATTTTTTATCATAAAATCAAAAATCACGAAAAACATAAAAGTCATTTTTTTTCATAAAATATTTTTTGCATAAATAACAACAAAATAATAATTTCCGAAAAAAAAACAAAATTATTAACACCACACATTATTGTTGACAAATTTAATTACTATAAGAAATATATATATAATCTCTATTTCAATTAAGGATAGACGACGAAAAATATTTTTAACAAATAGAAGGGAAAAAAAGTAAAGTAAAATGAAGGATATAAATGAACTATTAGGTCAGAGTCTCTGACCTTTGACTCTTATATTTCACAGAAGAAATATCCAAACTTAATAATCATTTTTATTTAAAATGGTTTGTGTTTGTGATGCACTATTTGGCAATTTTAAGATGTAAACATGAATTTTCAATGAAGTATGAAAATAGATTTTGCAATAATGCTTATTCTTTTAACCCGATTATTAATGTTTTGCATTAGCTGGGGTCTGGGGGATAACTAAGTGCGCAAGCAAAAATGGGATCATACATACTGGTATAACTAAGGAAAACCAAGGAACCTATTATATATATGTTGTCTTTCTCAAAGATTAAAGTGCCAACCATCAAAGTTCGGGGTTCGCTGATTTCAAAATACTATCATTGACCCCTCATTTTCATATGATTTCATGCAATGCACCACTGTTAACCCTTATGAATCTAGTACACAGCAAAAAGTCCACAACATGATTATTAAAATAAAATCCCCATGGAAAACTCAGACATGCGTTTTATGTAAATTTCATCCCCATGGAAAAGTCATTCATGCACATTTCATCCTTCAATTTCTAGCGGTGCACTAAACTGACCCTTGCACTGCAAATAGCTTATCTACTGAAAAACTCTACACAAGGAACCTTTCTAACCAAGTTGAAAGTTATGCAACAGATTCCACAGCAAAACTATCAACATTATGCAACAGATTAAACCCAGAATCAACAATTGAAGAGACATAAACAAAGTGCAGAGTAAAGTCTAAAGTTAAGATGATCAACCTTGTTAATTCTTTCAAAAGCACAAACAACCTCCTGCCAGTTCTCCGGGTGGGTTTCCATAACCTTCTGAAACTCTTTCCTGGAACCATCCCTCTCCTCATGCCACATGGACCGGTAGTCCTTGTCATGATTCCCATGCAACCACTTTTCCCTCTCAAGCATTTTCTCCTTCCACTTCTTGCCATCATCGAGTTTGACTGTCAACACCGTCGAATTCCACGGCCTTCATGGCTGAATTCTCAGCGGTTTCTCCATCATAAATAATAAACCCAAATCCAGCGTTCCTCTCCGTGTCATTGTGACCTCTGATCAAAATCACGGTTTTTTATCAGTCCGAATTGACGGAAGAATTCTGAAACCGCTTGTTTCTTTACCCATCCTGGTAAGTTTCCTACAAAGATTTTCCCTGGTTGGCGGAACTGAGTCCGGTCATCGGAGCTCTCGCCTTCTACTTCATCCTCTTGTGGTTTATACGGAAGCGGAGGAGGTGGTGGTGGAGGAGATAGTTTGCTTGTGAGCCAAAGCTTGTTAGTGAGGGAATTGGAGGAATGGAAGGGGTTTCTGAGAGGATTTGAAATAGGTGCGGGTTTAGGGTTAGGATTAGGGTTAGGGTTAGGAGTGGTTTTGTTTTTGAGGGGTTTGGAGGGACGGCGGAAAGGGGCTGCCATAAAGACACGCTACCAGGTATGCTGCCATAAAGAAGGCAGTTAAGAGTTTGATGAGGATGATCGAGGAGCGCGTTGCCCTTCTACTCGAGAAGAAAGCTTTTGAGGAGCTGGTGGCTTCCATTAGAGTTGAGTTGGCTCCTCCCAATGACGAGTCAGACGAGGTCAAAGTTCTGAAGACCTAGGCCGAATTGGTTGCTCATCTCCAACTGGCCTTGGAGGATTGTATGGTCAATGTTGCAGGAGTTTTGACAATGCGGTGGCGCAGCTCCGGGTTCTGAATATTGGCGTCGAGTTCAACATTGCTAGAATGGGGCTTCAATACTATGTGGCAGGTGGCAAGATAGTTATCCCCAAGTTCCTTCAGATTGACGAGGACGTTGAGGTCGTGGAGCCCTCTCATGCGGAGCCTATTCTTGAGGTCGGTGCAAATGCAGAGGGACTTCAACCTGATGTTTGATAAGTTTTTATTTTGGCCTGCGTGTCATACTATTGTAATTTGTTCTATGGCATTTACCCTTTTTTATGTAAGTTTCAAACAATCATGGTTGTAGTGGCCACAAGTTCGTCTTTTTGAATGGGGGCCTTGGGCTTCCCTTTTTTAATACTTTGTACAATTGCGACCTTGATGGTCGTCTTTTCAAATTTCCGACCGTGACCGTCGTGTTTTTAACCTACATTGTTTAAGTGTTTTTGACTTTGGCTTATGCAAGATTTATTGATTATTTTTGCAAAGTGTTTGCATGTTTTTGTATGCTCGTCTGCTTAAGACTTTATTATATTGACAAATAGTTGGTGGGGGTTTACTCGTAGATTTTGAGTTTGCTAGTGTGGGGAAACTGGTCAAACAGCCAGGGATGTTATCGGGCATGGGTCGTAACCCAGGGCTCGCTTTGAAGGCCCGAGCTCGGCGGCGTGAACTTCCCATCGTGAGCTGAGTGTTCTTCCATTGTGGTATGATGATGGTGGAGCTCGTTTGAGTTATCCACGTCGGGCTAAGAATCTGCTCGTCAAAAGAGTGGAGACTTGCCTCTTCGTTTAATTTCAATGACATGTTTGTACCTAGGCATGCACGTGTGATCGGGAAGATATGTGTTCATCATATCGACGAGGCACGCCGATTATTCAGTGTCTTAACTGTAACATTGCTTCAGTTTTTCGGTGTTCCAAGGTTGAGCAAGTTGTCTTAACTGTAACCTTGTCTAAAAACTTCTAGATAGTAGGATTCGTTCCCCTTTTTCGCATGAACGCGGTAAGGCCTTCCTAATTTTCAGCGAGCTTGCCTTTGCGAGATTCTTTGTGATTTATCTTTAGGACTAGGTTGCCGACTTCGAATTCACACCGTATGACTTTGGCGTCATATCTTATGGCGATTTTGTTTGAGAAAGGCTTCTCGTAAGGTATCTCCCGCTTGGATTTCCTAGACAAGGTCGAGCTCTTCCCTCTAAGCGACGTCGTTCATATCCTCGTCAAGGGGAACTTTGGTTCATTTGGAGGGTTCTCTGATTTCGACGGGGATGAAGAGCTCGGTCCCATATTCTAAACGGAATGAGGTCTCCCCGATTGACGAGTGAGCTTTCTTCCGATAGGCTCAGAGCATGTTGTGCAACTCCTCGACCCATCTTTTCTTGGTTCCGTCCTGCCTTCACCTGAGGGCTCATAGGATCACCCTATTTGTGGACTCGGCTTGCCCGTTTGTATGGGGATGTTTGATGGAGGCGAAGTGTTGGATGGTTCCCAACTTGGCAACGAATTCCTGGAAGTTTTTGTCTGTGAATTGCATGTTGTTGGTGGTGACAATCTCTTGTGGAATGCGAAACCGAGTAAGGATGTTTCTTTTATAGAAACGAATAATGTTTTGGGCGGTTATTCTAGCCAGTGCTTCTGCTTCTATCCACTTAGTGAAGTAGTCGACATCCACTATCAGATATTTATTCTAGTTTGTTCCTACCATGAATAGTCCGAGGAGGTCCAAGCCCCACCAGACGAAGGGTTAGGTGGAAGAGAGGGATTTGAGCTCGCTCGGAGGTGCTAGGTGCATGTCTCTGGCGTTGTCATTTGTCGCACTTCTTCATGTTCTCTTTATCGCCGTGTTGCATGGTGGGCCAGTAATATCCTGCTCGTAATGCTTTTCTAGCAAGGGATCTCCCGCCCAAGTGTTAGTCGTTGACTCCTTTGTGGATTTCATATGAGATGTGGGCTGCTTTGTGTTGATCGACACATTTGAGGAGAGAGATAGAAAATCCTCTTCTGTACAGTGTGCCTTCGACCAGAACGTAGGAGCAGGCTCTTCGCCTGACTGTGCTAGCTTCTTTCAGATCGGTTGGTAACTCTTCTTTTGTGAGGTAGTTGTACACTAGGGTCATCCAACAGTCACTGTCTCCAATGGCATATAGGTTGAGATTCGATGAGGTTGTTTCAATACTCAAGCGAGGAAGAATTTCTTGCATAACCGATTTGTTTCCCCCTTTCTTCTTCGTGCTCGCCAGTTTTGACAGAATGTTTGTCTAGGTGTTATGTTTGCGGGGAACATGTTGTATGTCTACAAACTTGAATTTATTCATACTTTCTTGGACCAGAGTCCAATACTCGGCAAGATGGTCGTTTTTGACCTGATACTCTCCTCGTACCTGAGATGCCACGAGCTGGGAGTCTATGAAGATTTTCACCTTCTTGGCCCCAGGTCTTCGGCCAGATGCAACCTTGCTAAAAGTCCTTCGTATTTATCTTTGTTGTTTGAGGTTGGAAAGGACAATGTGAGGGAGACTTCGATCATAATTCCCTATTCGCTCTTCAAGATGATACATGCGTTGCTACTTGTCAAACTGAAGGCTCCGTCGATGAAGATGGTCCACCTGCGCGTCCCATCTGGGGGTACGGGTGAAGTCATTTCAGCCACGAATTCGGCTAGTACCTTAGCCTTATGGTCTTTCCTACTTTCATACTTGATGTCAAACTTGGAGAGCTCTAATGACCACTTGAGCATTCTGCCTGCAATGTCCGGTCGTCCGAGCAACTGTTTTATTAGTTACTTTGTCCGGACAAAAATAGTATGGGCCAAGAAATAGTGTCTCAGCCTCTTTGCCACATTGATAAACGTTAAGGCTTCTTTCTAGATCTGTTGGTATCTCACTTTGGGTCCTTGTAAGGCTTTGTTATTGAAGTAGATGGGATTCTGCCACTCAGGGGTTTCTCGGATGAGGGCGGCACTCACGACTTCTGATGCAATGGCCAGATAGAGGTAGATGACTTCTTCCTTTTCTGGTCAAGAAAAAAATCGGTGGGTGTGATAGTGCCTGCTTCAGGTGGATGAGGGCATGCTCGCTCTCTTCTATCCATTCAAAGACAACCTCTTTACGGAGAAGTTTGAAGAGGGGGAGTGCGTGTTGGGCATATTTTGCCACGAAACAAGAGAGTGAGGTGAGCGTGTTATTTAGGATCTAAATGGATTTCTTCGAGTTGGGTGTCGGAAACTCAGAAAATGTTTGGCATTTTTCGGGGTTGGCTTCGATTCCTCGTTACGTTAGGTAGAAACCGAGGAATTTGCCTGCCCCATTCTTTCATGGGCTCTTTCCCCCTTCTCTTCTGTTCTGTGAGGTCTTCATTCGAGAAGTGGCTGTCTAGGTCAATGGTGTCGCCCGTGGCAGTGGTGTGAGTTCCTCGGAGCTGGAGGGCAGAGCGGATCCACTGGCCATTCAGGGTTGTACGTTGATGGAACTCACGCTCTTGGCTGATGCTTCAAAACACCTTCTTGCAGCCTGGACATCCCCGTGGAGGGTGGAGACCAAGCCTTCAGCGGTGTAGTACTTCATCTTTAGATGTATGGTGGAGGGCATCGCAATCATCTTTGCTAAAGTGGGTCTTCCGAAGATTAATTGGTTGAGTGACGGGCAGTCCACTGCTAGAAATTGGGTCCTGATGGCCTTGGCTGTTACACCCCTCCCAAAGGCGACAATTAGCTCGATGTATCCCTAGGGTTTGGTGGCAGATTCATTGAATCCCTGGAGATTTGAGCCTACATACGGGGTCAAATGAGACTAATTCAGCTGCAGAGTACTGAATAGATGGATATACATTATGTCCATCGAGCTTCCATGGTCCACCAAGATGTGTCAGACATCAAAGTTTTCCATGCGTGCCCGTACGAGGAGTGGGATGCTTGAGATGGGCCCCCCGCTCGGCAGCTCTTCCCGGTAGAATGCGAGGGGATGAGAACCTCCCCTTAATTTGTTGGGTGGCATCCATGTCAGAGTTGGACTTTATCAGCTGATCGAACCTCCTCTGCACTAAACCCACAATGTGTTTGTTGAATCTCGTGCCGAAGATGACCATTGTCGCCGAGAAAGATTCCCAAGTACTATGCAAAGAGAAGTATAGAGGGACCTCTTCCATGTCGGGAAAATAGAAATCCTCTGGTCTTGTGATGCTCATAGTGACCGAGATAATACTGGTGTCGGGGGACTCCTTCCCCCCTTCACCATTCTTGGCCTCTTGAGTCTCTTTGTGGGTGTTCTCCTTCTTCTTGTATTGCTTAAGATGCCCATCCCTGAGGAGTATCTCAGTTGCATCTTTGAGGTGGATGTAGTCGTCAGTGTTGTGCATGTGGCTCTTGTGAACTTGTAATATTTGTTTTTATCTGTCCCAGGCTTGCATGGTGTTTGGTGGGGAAAGCGTACGGCTTGCTTGAATTATGAATTAGTGAATTTTGTCAGAATATGCTCACGAGAGGCGTTGAGAGGAGTGTAGTCATCAAAATGACTAGCTGGGCCCCGATAGTATTTGGAGTCTCGGAACTTCTCCGCTCGTTTCCTCTCTCCCACTCGATAGGATATCGAGGGCTCATCATTCTTCAAGACCTTATCATTCTCTATGTGTTGTGAGTCCCTTGCATTGTTCGTTGCCTCCTTCTCCTCGTACTGGATGTATGCTTGGGCTTTAAGTAGGAGGGAGTCGAGTGTGGCAAGAGTCTCGATGCTAAAACCTTTGGCGAAGTCACTATAGGG